GAAGTTGCAAAAAAGCAAAAGCGAAATTCAAAATTCGGCTCCCAATGTTTTTTGCGCAATTGATTGTAGAATACATTCACATCAAATTTGAGCATAACAACCTTTACCCTGAGGATTTATTTTGAGTTTTACAAAAGTGTGTTTTTTCCATATGGCGGCCAAAGTATCACTTCCGGTCTGGATTTAATTCTAAAATCGGCCATAAAATTTCATTTGCCAAAGATCAGCTAAATTTTGTTCACCTACATAAATTACACCGGAAGTTATTCAACCGGAAGTAGATTTGAAGTTCAGTCGCTTTCCTGTTTAAAATCAGAATTGACGTACAAAATTTGACTGTATCATATTATTAACACTAGTGAAGTCTCTTTGCATTTAAAAATTCAGATCAATCGATGCAAAATCAAAAATTTGATCGAAAAAAGTGAGCGACGAATTTTCGAATTTCGTAATTTTTCAAGTGCTATCAGGTCAGAAATTACAGGTAGATTGTTAAAATGAAAACCCGAAGAAAATCGATGCAAAAATACGCCTTCTAGAGCCGATTTTCGACTTTTTGCAATATGTTGAACTATGGCCCTTCCAGTTTTGCAAAAATGTTCCAATATATATTTAATGAACACGTCGCCACTACAGAAGGTCTAGAGAAGTTGAATGGTTGCTGCAACTACTGTAGACTAAGCTCAGGAAGGTGTGTAAAAAAAAGAATTGACATTTCGATAACAAACTGGGACTTTGCAGTAGCAAAGTCCCACAATAATTCACTGGACCTCACAATTGCATAAACATGGGTTATCTCTACAACGTCAGCCTGTATAATTTTTCATGTCATTTCAAATCCACATCAAATTTATCATTTATTTCTAACATGCATTAGCTGCATACCAGTCATCTCGGTGACATGTCAACTCGGAGACAGTTAACTCAGTGACAAAGTGAGTTAACTCGGCGACAACTTCTTGGAGACAATATGGTTTCTTTCTTTCCGTACAAAATGGCCACAACTTTCATTTTGGTCAAGTTAATTTCTTATTTAAAGTCTATCAATGTATAAATATATCAATGCCCCTAACATAACTTTGTCAATTATCTTAGTTATGAAGTCATGAATATTGTCAGAACAGTCTCCATCTCCATTTTAGCACACGAATTTTAATAGTTAAAACGGTAACAGATCTGCCAAAACGGTAACAGATTGATTGTATAATAATCCAACATCTACTCATCTTAATCACTTATCCGACTTATCGTCAATTAGATAATCGCTTATTTTATTGAAATTCGCAGTAATATTTAGCTATGAAATTTGGTTTATGTCGAACAACAATAAGCAGCATTTTAAACGTAAAGAAGAATGTTTTTAAAAGATAAAGAGAATGCAGTCAAAACGGACCAGGAATCAACAGGCAGATGTAATGGCTATTTGGGACAGATATGATAGTGGATCTCTTTCACTAAATTCAATGCTAAATGAGATAGAATGCTTGGTTGCTGTTTACATGAATATGTATTGGTGTGAATGTTTAATTTTATTGTTGTACAATGTTATTAAGTGAGAATGAATAAATGATTGACTTAAAGTAATTCGTTTTATCTCCCCTCAAAAGTAACTCTTCCCCATCTATTCCGTTTTCGGCCATTTTGAATTCTGGCAATTATTGGAAGAACAAAACTCATCAATTAACTTGTTTTGATCAATATAGCAATCAGCAAAAACAACAAAATTAACCAATGACTTAAGTAGACGACTTAACTCAGTAATTGTTGTAGACGAGTTAACTTGCGTGGTATTTCTGTAGGCGTGTTGACTGGTATTCAGCTATAAATAGTAACACAAAATGTCGAAACTTTGAGTACTCCAACACTCCACACTAAGAGTTATTAATAAAAATTATTGCTTGTTATAGAATAAATTATTGTCTCCCTTGAAGAGAACTCTTTATTTTTTAATAAGACAAAATCTGTCACCGAGTTGACACGGCAAATAGTGTCGCTGAGTGATATTTTGTCACCGAGTTAACCAACAAAAATTTGTCGCCGAGTTGACATGTCACCGAGTTAACCGAATACCCATTACCTTAGCCTACAAAGATTTCAATTATTACCAAATATCACAATTTTTTAACGGCCGAATTTCCTTATAATCCCCAGCTGTAATCAGAATTTCAAGTGTCGTCTGCTAGAATCTATTCCAGTGAATGAGTCACATGACAGACTAGCGGATTCTGTGTCAGCAGAAAATTCTATGGAACACAATGTAAGCCATATTCTTATGTTGTTTCAATGACTTTTAGCAATAAATCAGTCTTACGCCATACTTATCTGATTTTGTCAATCACTATTTTTTTTCCTAAATCATAGTTCTTTGAATTATCATAAGTTATCAAATATTATTAAAGATAAATACTAAGAATAATTATACCACTGGGTATCCATACAACATGTTTTTCTCGACTTATTCACACATCAAACACGAAAATAGGTGACGAAAATAGGTGACGTATTTTGCAGCTGTTGTGTCAAGTTGGTTACTCACGGAATATAGGTCATAAAAGTGAGGAATTCATAGAGCAAATTGAAAAATACCAATTTAATTATTTGATAGAATATCCGAGAAAACATCTAAGACGTAAAAAAAAAAATTCTGTTTTTAATTATGACAAATTCGGTGTTGAATGCTTTATATGCACACATACAGATTACACCACTGGATTAATCAGGTTCGCTTTCGTGCAGATAATACACAGACGTAATACACAATCGATTAACTTTGGATTCAAAACTAGGCCTACTCTAGGCCTAATTTTAATTAGACTGACTTGTATAAGCTTATTTAAAGACCCAAATCAACCCCGAAAATGACAAACCCGTCCCTTTAAAACGGAAGTAGTTGTACCTGTTAAGCGTATTTTCATAGGTCTATTCCTCCTAGCCCCTTCACTAGCCATATTTCCATAGAAAACACTGTTTAAACATTTTTAATTTTTCCGTTTAACGAAATGTGATTTTCCATTTTCAATCCCCATTGAACCAGCAACCACTTCCGCTGTAAAGGGGAGGACAATTCGGACCAAAAACAAGTCGAACCAAAGTGTACAACAAAGACAATTTCGACCATAGAAATGTATGGTGGGCTATGAGAACAGGAATGGTTTTTTTTATACTTAATCGTAGCTAGTAAAAGTTTCTGGGCGGAGCTAAGAGTAGCTAGTAAAAAATCAAAATGGGTCTATTTCTGTTTCCTGGGGAACAACATCATGGCGACAGAAACATGTCTTTCACATTCACTGTTCAGTAAAATACCTTTGAACGAGAATCGTGCCCGAAATTTTCTGAAACCAAATCAGTAAATGTATGTTGAAAGATATCTGAAGCTTTGATTGGGTATAATCTGGACATTCCTCGTCTTCTTTACCGGTATGTCTTTAAGCAGCCGAATTTGTCTCTTATACCGTACTTCCAATTTAAGAATGTGGCTATAGTCCATAAAAAACTGACTTTTATTTGGACTTAAAAACTGTAGTCTCTATTGTGTTTACAAACAAATTTTGACGCGTTTTTCCCAAGTCAAGGGCAATAACTCAACAACCGTTCATCGAAAAATCATCAAATTCGAACTTGAACAAGATCTCATGAATATAAATGATCACCCCAAATTTCATTAAAACCAGACAAAAACTGGAGCCTCTATTGTGGTCACAAGCCAATTGTGGAAGGACGGACGGACAGAGGCGATGACAATATACGACCACATTATAATGTGGGCGTATAAAAATTGTGTGTAAACCCAAATAGAATCCGCAGATCCCCTATACTATATTGCGCAGACCCAACTAGAAACCGCAGACCCAACTAGAATCTGCATACCCCTATACTAGAATCTGCAGACCCCCTATTCTAGAATCTGCAGACCCAACTAGACTCCACAGACCCCCTTTACTATGTTCCGCAAACCCAACTAGAATCCGCAGACCCCCTATACTAGAATCCGCAGACACAACTAGAATCTGCAGACCCCCTGAACTAAAATCTACAGACCCAACTAGAATCCGCAGACCCCCTATACTATATTCCGCAGACCACAACTAGAATCCACAGACCCCCTATACTTAATTCCACAGACCCAGGTAGAATCTGCAGACCCCCTATACTAGAATCCGCAGATTCCCTTCAAAAGCTGAAGTTTTTTTTAACTTTTCCCACTTTCAGAATTATTTTGTAATAAGTGCCTAAAAATAAGGACGATATTTTTGTGTTCGTGATATAGAATTATTTTCTAATTTGTTATTATTTTGTAACATAAAATTATTTAAAATGCTTTCGAGTTGATATCAAGATCATGACATTAGATAGCCTACTAGGTAAATAAATGTACTGTGTATTTCAACACTGTATAAATTAATGTGATTGCTTATTTATACAATACACACCTCTGAATTTCTAGATGACCTCATCTCCAAATCTAATTATCGACACATGTAATGTATGGCGCTGTATTTGGTTCAAAATAGAATCCAGATCTGATTGTATAAATTCTTAAAATCGCGTGGTCATTTCTTAGGTAGAAATGATTAATCTTATAAAATTAAAGTATTTTTACGTGTCTTATCTCGTATCTTTTTTACTTTTTTCAATTTGAGTCTTCTAGAACCTAATTATAACCGTAGACTTTGTAGAACGCAGAACGCGAATTTAACCTTTGGAACTTCACTACTGGATCTTGTTCGCTGAATCGTAATCTTTCGACTTTCTTCACTGGATCGTGTTCGCTGAATCGTGATCTTTAGAAATAATGATATGCAGAAAATGTCACGTGATCTCATTTAATTTCCGTAATATTCAATCAGATCTGGATCCTATTTTGAACCAAATACAGCGCCATAATGAAAGAAGTTGTATTCCATAATATTTCTAATAATCTAACGGCTCCTTCTTTATCTTTAAAGGGTTGGTATTAAAGAACCATAAAGAAATGGTTGAGGAAGAATGGTATGAAACTACTAGAATGGTTCCAAAACACACTGAAAAAGAAAATATAGAAAAGGTCCTAAACCTTTTTATCAGACAATCTATTAAAGGAGGAAGAGTTGATTCAAACAATATTTATTCAAGTAATTACAGTTATGATTACACAAGTGAATAAATGGATGAATAATCGTGGGGTCCACTGGTATTTTCAATATAATCATTAATTCATAATAATTTAAGCCCGAAATAGCCTTTCCTATCACAGTCTCTGACAGCTCCACCTGGCGTCTGTCGACTGGCAGTTTCCAACAGAAGCCCCCAGAGGAGTAGTATATGTCTTTTCGGATATGACGCATTTCACTTCTGCGCATGCGCAGCTTTTTCAATGCATCATATCCGAAAAGACACAACTGTTAAAATGTATTATAACAGACTCCCCAAACTGTATTATAACAAACTCCTCCAAACTGTATTATAACAGACTCCATATAAATTACCCCAAACCACAGACAAGAATCACTAATAATAATACAGTAAAAAATAACCGAATTAAAAATGTCTTTAATTTTAAAACACGAACAAAAAAAAAATTCGAAGGAGACGGTTTCTTCTCTGCGCTAACATCTCTCATCCCCAAAGTGGCCAATTTTGTCTCAAACAACAAATTTCCTCCTTGTATTAAATCTTCCGTATTAAAAATATATGTTGAACAAATATGTCTTTAATTAATGTCCATCCTCCTAAAACGTATTTCGGTGCGGGAGACATTCAAAAGTCATTGGGTTCTCTTCCTGGATTCCCATGGGCAAAATATCCCGGAGAAAAACATCTCCCAGGCCACAATTATACAGGTCCAGGCACTAGGTTAGATCTGCGTTTAGACGAAAATGATATTCCCAAACCAGGGGAAGAACCCGTTAATAGAGTTGATGCAGCAGCGCTCAAACACGACATACTGTACAGAAATAAAGACGTAACATTCAGACACCATGCAGACAAACAAATGATAGACGAACTCGAAAATATTCCCAATCCCACTTTCAAAGAGAAATTACAAAGGGCTTTTATCATTAAACTCTTGAAGGCAAAATTGAAATTGGGTATGGGCATAGCAGACGAGATTCACAAAGAATTTCGAAAAAACAAACATTACCTCAAAGTCAAAGTTTTTGATAAAGATGAAATTTGGTCAGCCGATTTAATCAACATGCCAGTCGAGAGAGGGTACAAGTATTGTTTGACGGTGATCGACATATACACGAGATACGCTTGGGTCTTTCCCTTGAAAAACAAATCGGGTCTGACTGTCAAACAAGCATTCGAAACCATAATGAAACAATCCGACAGACGACCCCTAAAGTTGTGGGTTGATAAAGGAAGCGAATTCTACAACAGAAATGTGAAATCTCTGGGGTTTGAAATTTACAGCACGCATAACGAAGGTAAAGCCGTAGTGATAGAAAGATTCAACAGGACTCTTAAAAGCAAATTATTCAAGAAATTCACGGAATTGAAATCTCAAAAATGGCTTAAAGTATTACCGGTTGTTGTCGACGAATACAATAACAAAATACATTCGTCTATAGGTGTGACGCCATCCCAAGCCTCTAATAACCCGAATATCATAAAGTCCGTCAACACTCGAAACAACTTTGAAAACGAGATTAGCAATTTGAATATTAAACTCAAATTCAAAGTTGGATTTCGGGGAAGGGAGGGTTTGATTCTCCCAAATGTACAGGCCTAGGATGGAGCAGACACTTTATTTAGAAATTAGGATTAAGGGTCTTGATATTGGGTTTTCTTCTGTTCTTATTCTGATCTGAAATTAGAAAAAATAACTGGCCCGAGGGGCGAGAAGTATAGTATCTGTTATGTACTGATTGTTTTTAGTTTACTATGAACAATATTATCATTTAAGTTCTTATTTTTTGAATATGCAACTATCATTTTCTGCTTATAGACATGGGGGAATTTCTCTTGAAGGCTCTTATAGTGGGCATGAACTATCTTGCTTGCTCGATTGCTGGTTGTATTAAACGGGACAACAAGGGTGCTATGCCTACATTATGATGAATATTTAGTCCTATAGGTCTTGCTGTATTCAATGTCTCAATCCAATGGGCCTCCCTAGATTGACGGAATTTGGTAGTTTCATCTTCGGCAAGTCAATTTCTATACGCTCAATTGGGATTAGGGTGAGATCGTCTATTGAATGGTCGTCGAGGTTGAAATGATTAGAAACAGGCTTGTCTTTCTTTAATTTGATGTCTGACCTATAGGCATTAAAGCGAGTTCGTAAATTATTCTTAGTTTCTCCTACATATTGTTTGGGGCATTTCTTGCATGAAATTAAATATATTACATTCGAATGTTCACATGTTAGATGTTCCTGGATCGGGTACCTTTTATTCGTAGAGTTGCTTACAAAATAATGAGTTTATGATATAAAGGGACATGTTTTGCATCTACTGGACAAACATGGAGCACTTCTTAAACCTGGAGGTACTTCGGCATAAAGTCTGTTTTTAGCTGCTATCTGTGCTAAGGTGGAAATTTTTATGTTTCGTAAAAATCGTTTAGAGTACCCACGCTCTTTCAGTTTTGAGAAAACAATCGTACAGGCTTGGTTGAAATCAGAAGATCTTGTACAAATTCGATGAAATCGCCAAACTTGTGACTTAATTATACCAGAAAAGGTATGTTTTGGGTGAAAGGAGCTCTTGTGCAAGAGTTGATGAGTATCAGTTTCTTTGAAATACACTTTAATATCCAGTTTTTTTGTTTCTGCTATGAAATCTCCCTTAAAGACTGTGGTATCGAGAAAGTCTATGCTTTTGTCACTCACGTTTGCGGTTAGTTTGATAGAAGGATGGTGGTTGTTGAGAATTTCAAAGAATTCCCAAAACTGTTCGATAGAATAAGTCCAAACCATAAAAATGTCATCCAAAAAGCGTCCGTAAAAAAGTGGGTCAAATGGACAGAGGGGCAACACCTCACGTTCCCACTCTGCCATGAAAAGGTTTGCGTACGAAGGGGCGAATCGTTTGCCCATTGCTGTCCCTGAAGTTTGTAAATATGTTTTACCATTAAATGTGAAATCGTTTCGACTAAGACAAATCTCTAAAAGCTGTAGAATTGCATCGTCGGGTCTGTTTGGATCTGGGTTTCTATTAAAAGCTTTACGAACTGCCGTTAAACCAGTAGTGTTATCGATATTGGTATACATAGAAGAAACGTCGAT